TGGATTTTTTTATCCACACTGAAACCTCAAACAATTCTCATGGGCCTCACTCAACACAGTCACAAAAGTGGTGGGTACACAAAGCAAAGCAAAAGCAAAGCAGCTTCATTTATATTCCGCTTCATATTGCACATGGGATGTCTAAGCGGTTTACAACTGTGAGCTGATTGACCCCCAACAATCTGGGTACTCATTTTAGCGACCTCGGAAGGATGCAGGCCTGAGTCGAGCCTCAGCCCTGGCTGGTATTGAACTCGCAACCTTGTGGTCTATGAGTGAGTGGCTGCAGTACAGGCATACTTAAAAAAAAGACTTTTAAAATAACAATAGTGGTCAGTCTGCCCCTGAGGCTGAGAGAGTGTAACTTGTCCTAGGCTCCAGTAAATGAGAGGTGGGGTGATTGAGAATGAAGTCAGGAGTCAAGAAAAGATACTTTGGGTCTAAATGGGCCCAAAACTGCACCTAGAACTGCACTCTGTGAGACAAAGAGCAGTGGAAGGGAGTCTCTAGAGTAGGCTTTTTAGCACCAAGACTACTAAAACTGCTATAAGCCTGAAAGGCAAGACTCACCCACTGGGATCCTTAAAGAACACCACAGGGGGAGGAGAGAAGAGAAATAAACAGATGGAAAAGCCCTCCAAATTAAAAAGAGGGTGTTGGTTGAGAACCAACCCAAAAAACTCCAAGACCAGAAAAAAAAATCCCCAGGTGAATTACTGTAAACAAAAAGGAAACTGACAATAACAGCAGTGAGGAAAAGCTCCAAATAGCAATATGCAGCACAGTTCAAACAACCATGTAAACCAAAACTCAACCAAGGAAATCTGGGAGCTCAGTCAATCTGCTTCTGAGATCTAAGCTGGAATGTCATCCTCCACCCAGTCATGGGGCGGGGGGGGGGGGGGGGGGAGGATTGCCACTGAGTGGGAAGGCTGGACAGCCCCTGTTCAAGCCATGGTCTGATCAGTCCTGTCCTAGTGGCACATCCCAGGCTCCAGAGTGCCACCACCCCACTGATACTGTTACTTGGTTCTCTCCTTTGTGTTTATCTCTTCAAGGAACCCAATTATACTCTCATCCTCCTCCTTCAGTTTGTACTCTCCCAATCAATTTCTTCCTTGCTGGAGGAGTTCTCTTGGGAAACTATTTGAAAAATTGTGAGTGGATTCTTTCACATTTATCCTCTGTGTTTGCTGTCCAGTTGCATATAATTGAAAAAAAATGCACACATTAAGAAATATGGATGGATAGCTGCAGAGTGCTAACCCTGAGCAGAGGAAACTTTGTAGAAAAAAGTAAGAATGTAAATAAGACTGAATTTGGAACATTCACTCATTCTTTGTTTCACCCATCCACTGTGTGTGTGTGTCTGTGTGTGTGTGTGTGTGTGTTGCTGTCAAACTCAATTTCTAAGGTTTAAAAGACATGGAAGAAATAATCCAGTTTGTGACCGCTTTAACTGCCCTGGCTCAGTGCTAGGGAATTCTGGGAATTGTATTTTATTGTGGTACCAGAGCTCTCTGATAAAGTTAAATGTCTCACAAAACTACAGTACCCAGAATTCCCAAGCATTGAGCCAGGGCAGTTAAAGCAGTCTCACATTGTATTGTTTCTGCAGTGTGTTTTGGACCTCAGCAAAGAAAACTAGAAGTATAAAACTAAAATAAGGAAAATAATTGCATGTAGACCTTACTTGAGGACCCTCATATGCAGCACTTTAAACATCCCCAGAGCCCCTCAAAGCAGCCCCACCAAAGTGCTTGCAAAATATTTCAGCCTTCCAACCATCCATAAATGCAGCAGTTTTCTTCTCCTAGGGCCTAAGCAGACGGCTTATTGGGCCGTCTTCAGTGCAAGGAAGGGGAGGGGCAGCCGCACGCTTGGCACCCCCTCCCCCTCTCGAGGTCATTCTCGGAGCAGCCGGCCCTCCGCACAGCCAGCGCTCCGAGGAGGACCTCCCGCCACAGCGTCCAGACATACTGCGGTGGAAAATTAGCCGAAAGTGTGCCGCAACCTTTCGGCGACATATGAAAGGAGCGCTATTTTAGCGCTCCTTTCCAGGGATGGCAACAGTGTGCAGCAGGATCGAGGCATGGGGATGCCTCAGTCCCACAGTGCAACTTCCCAGGGCAGCCCACGGCCGCCTATCTGCTTAGGCCCCTAATCTCCTCAGATTCCATGAAACTCACAAAAAATAGCCAAAAATAAATCAAAATGGCATCTGGAAGTGATGTAATGTCACTCTGGTTCAGTTAAATGCTCTGGTGTAGCCTACTAGGTGGGTGTGGATGTATGTGTGACCTCCTCCCCTCTGCATTTGTCCATCCCTAGTCTACATTATTTGTTTCCCACCAAGCCATTTATATAGAGCTATTGGTTCAAATTCTTCTTTGGATTTAGAATAGCATTTCACTTTTTAGATATGAAATCCACCTTTAATCCCAGCTAGCAATTTATTAATACTTTAACAGTGGCCCATTAACACTATATAATTATAGCTCAATGACGGCACCCGAACTACCATGGCTTAGTCCTATGGAATCCTTAGATTTGGAGTTTAGAGAAGGGAGCTTTTAGAATTCTCAGCCTCATCAAACTAGAAACCCTTGATTCCTAAGGATGTTGCCAAGGCAAGTAAAGTAGAATATAGGGCTATAATTGTGTAATGCGACTAGGTCCCTGGTCAGCACATGCAAGAAAAATGGACAAGACAATCATCTATGTATTCTGGTCTGTCATGTTCTTGCAGCCCTTTGGTTTTACAGTCTTAGGGAGACAGCCACACAGTAGGTTTGTGACTCTCCTGATGAACCTGAGTGATTGATACATTGGGTTTGGATTTGGTATCAAGTGTCATGGATCTACAGTCCTTTTTTAAAAAAAATGTTTTACCATTTTAGCCATTTTTTTCAATGTTTAGTTTAAAACTGAATGAAGAAAGAAAAATCAATCAATCATGATTTTTACATTCTTTATACATAGTAACTTAGAATAGGATGAGATGTGACTTGTTACTTGCAGTCCATCAGCTGAAACCCAGTGGTTTAGTTATACTGAAATACTGAATCTACACTGTAGCAGACAATATTGAAGACAGCATTATTGAGAGTAGTCCAATCAAAACCATAAATGCTGAGATTTCACACAGTTTCTATGTCATCTAAGCTAAGGAAGAATTGCAATGGGAAAGAAAAAATTGATAGGAATGGTAATATCATTCGGCTATTAAAATTAATGGGGACTTCTTGGAAAAAAATATTTAATTTTCCTTCTAGCAATAAATTATTGCAAATTCTCCTGTTGAGATACTCTTAGTAAATTATTTGTAAAGAATAGCTTTAATTAATTCTTATTACATCCCTGTAGGCATAGGTTTTACTGAGTTATTAGAGAAACTGTTAAAGTTTACATTCATGTAGATTTATTTGCCCTTGAACATGTTTAATTAAGTTTGAAGAATGACACGTTTTTTTCAATTCCTCATGGATGTATTGAGACAGAAAGAAGATATTCAACAGTAGAGCTTTTTTAAAAAAAAAGAAAAGAAAAGAAATATATAACTTTAATGAAGAATGACTCAGATTGAACTTGTCAGTCCTCTTCACTCAACAAAAAACACTACCATGAAGAACCACACCCCTTCACCTTACTGCTTTTACTCTTTTGACAACACAATGGGTTTTACTTTCATCTCAGGTGTGAAATTGTACCCCTATTGTACTTTTCTTAGGGGCTTAACCCAAACTTTCCTTTAAAAAACTTAGTAGCATGTTTCAGCCATAAAGTTCCAGTCAAGACTATGTTGAAACAATGAATAAAAAAATTATTTGAAAGTTTATTTACACAAAGTATCATTGTCATGAGATGGTTACAAACATTTAATACTTCATAGTCTTGCTTTGCTGGTTTCACATACTTCACAACACTTGATTTCATACATTTGTTTAGGAATTATACTTTCCCTTTTATTTTGAACACTTCTCTTCTTAGAACAGTGTAACTTTCACTAGGACCCATACACAGTCCTCCCTTTAGGGTACTTTCCTAACCCTATTTTTAAAACAGCCACCAAGGCTAACTAATCCCTATCTCTAACACCACACCCCCAACTCCAACTATAACTTAAACTCTAACTAATCCCCATTAAAGGTTTCTACCTAGCATTTTATACACTCCCATCTTAAATCCGATGGGCTAATACCTGCTTCATCCCTATTGGATGTTGGCTGGCCCAATTTTTCCTTCTCTCCACAATTACTTTGTCAATATTTTTGTTTCATTTGCATTTGAAGCCCTCAGTATAGAATTAATTGAACATGATCAAATGGGAATTGTCCAGAATATCTACAAAACACATGTTTTATTTCTTCATTTGGGATTACTAAAAGCATGCAATGGTATAATGCAAGAGCCTCTGTCACAAACAAATTTGTATTTTAGCCTAGATAATCGACACAGAAATCTCACCTAAATGAAGGAAGAGGATGTGTGAGAGAAATGTAGCAAAATGAGCTCATAGGGAGCTTCCCTTAGTTTGATTAGGCCTCTGTAAATTTGGGTCAATCTTTGCATATCAAATAAAATCTCCTGAACCCCAACATTATCTGAAATCACCATGTTTACTGTAAATTTGGTTGAGGTGCCCTTATTACCTGAAGTTCTAACATAATTACCCGAAGTTATAAAATTATTTTTTTAAAAATAGTTTGCCTTCATGTCATTTCCAACTTATGGTGACCCTAAATCAAACCTTGCTCTTGATGAGTGCCTTCAAGCCATTTCCAACTTATGGTGACTCTAAAGCAAACCTATAATGGGCTTTTCTGGGGTTGAGAATGTGTGACTCATTCAAGGTCACCAATGAGTTCCCATGGCTAAGTGGGGACTGGCAAACTGCTCATAGGGTTTTCTTGGCAATATTTATTCAGTGGGGGGTTGCCTTTGCCTTCCTTGGAGGCAGAAGGAGTGTAGCTTTTCCAGCGTCACCCAGTCAGTTTCTGTGATCAAGTAGGGATTCAAACCCTGGCCTCCAGAGCCATAGTCCAGTGCTGAAACCACTACACCACAGTGGCTCAAACCTGAAGTTATGGAGACATCATTTTAAGAAAGCCAGCTATTTTACTTCCCCCATGAACTCCTAGATCTAACAAAATAAAGTATTTTCCTTATACACTTGCAGATACACTGAAGGCAGATCTACTAAAAGTCTAGGGACACACATAACATTGAAAAAAATCTTTTATATACAAAAGAAGTCTGCTCTAACTTCCTGATGGACCAACATGAACCTATGTGCAAATGATTTCTTGGTATTTTCCACTTTAATTGTGAGAAGGGAAATTAAAAGACTGTGTCATGGAATGAGACCTCTTCTAAATAGTGTTTTGTTCAGGAAGCTAAATGGCCTAACTCCCAAAATGTGGGGAGACTGGGATTCTTTATAACCTGG